CCATAATGCCGTTAAGGTCTCTGTCGGATTTAAACTCAACTCCTTAGGGTTAGCAGTTAGGTGACTAATCTTGGCTATCTTGTGTAAAGAAAAAAATCTTATAAACTTTTTATGTAGCAAAGTTGAAATAAAACATGCCCCGCAATCAATACAAAAGAATCAGCGTGCGCCATTTTCTATTATCTTTCCATTTGGCTGTAAGCAGTGATCTTAGATTCACAATTTTTGTGTGCAGTGCATGCATATTGTCAAATTTCAGTGTTCCAACTGCGCAGTTACCCCAGCAAGCAGGGAACACACATGTAAGCCTTGAACTAATTTGAAAGAAGGCAAGCTAATTGTAAAGCTTTTAAACCCAATTCCCCTGCTCCCTACATTCAGAAGGTCAACTTCGAATGCTTCGCACTTAGATATACGAAGGTCGTGGAAACAAAAACAAAATGGTGAAGGTTGGAGCCGGAGTGAGATCATCGGGATTAGTTTTCTTGAAAGCGCAGCGATTACAAGTATTTAAGAATACGAGAGCATTTATTGTGATTTGTGATTAGAGCATGTAGGTTAGATTCGTGTGTTGTCGTGACTGGAACGAGTTTATAAAGTCGAGGTCATAAACTTCACAGCACGGTGTTTTTTAAATCCCCCCCCCCTCTTTCTCTCTCTCTCTCTCTCTCTCTCTCTCTCTCTCTCTCTCTCTCTCTCTATCTATCTATCTATCTATCTATCTATCTATCTATCTATCTATCTATCTATCTATCTATCTATCTATCTATCTATCTATCTATCTATCTATCTATCTATCTCTATCTATCTATCTCTATCTATCTATCTATCTATCTATCTATCTATCTATCTATCAATCTAATCTATCTAATCTATCTATCTAATCTATCTATCTAATCTATCTATCTAATCTATCTAATCTATCTAATCTATCTAAACTATCTAATATAATCTATCTATCTATCTATCTATCTATCTATCTATCTATCTATCTATCTATCTATCTATCTATCTATCTATCTATCTATCTATCTATCTATCTATCTATCTATCTATCTATCTATCTATCTATCTATCTATCTATCTATCTATCTATCTATCTATCTATCTATCTATCTATCTATCTATCTATCTATCTATCTATCTATCTATCTATCTATCTATCTATCTATCTATCTATCTATCTATCTATCTATCTATCTATCTATCTATCTATCTATCTATCTATCTATCTATCTATCTATCTATCTATCTATCTATCTATCTCTCTCTCTCTCTCTCTCTCTCTCTCTCTCTCTCTCTCTCTCTTGACGCCGTGGTGTAGCAGCTGCGGATATGAAGATCTTGGCTACAGGACTTCTTTTAAAAACTGACACTGGCTTCCAGGTCAAAGCAGCCTTAAATAGGTACCAGGCTCTGTCCAGGAAAGAAAGGTGGCCTGCGTGGTGCCGACCACATCACTCACCGAGTGCCGATTGGTCTATAAAATATAGGTCTACACCCATTTGCCCGATATGCCTAAAGGCATTGGAAAGGGTCCTTTACCTCTCTATCTTTCGCTGTCTCTCTCTCTCTCTCTCTCTCTCATTCTTCTTCTCACTCTCTTTTACTCTCTCTCTCTCTCACTCATTCTCTCTCTCAATATTTCTATCTCTCTCTTACGTTCTCTCTCTCTCATTCTCTCTCTCACTATTTTTACCTCTCTCTTACGTTCTCTCTCACTCTTTTTCGCCCTCTCTCTCACTCCCTTTCATCTATTTAATTCTCTCTGTCTCTCTCTCTCTCTCACTCTTTTTCAGTCTTTCTATCTCATTCTTTCTCCTTTTCTTCTCTATCTATGTGTCTCTCCGGAATGCGACTATTCACACCCAGGGAGTCACATTCGACATGACATGGAACTCTATAGATCCAGCGTCGACTTAAGCACCTGCGGTCATGAGCAGTCTTTTTCTTGTTCTTCTCCTTCTTTTTCTTCTTCTTCTTCTTCTTCTTCTTCTTCTTCTTCTTCTTCTTCTTCTTCTTCTTCTTCTTCTTCTTCTTCTGCTTCTTCTTTTTCTCCTTCTTCTTCGTCTACTTCTTTTTCTTCTCCTCCCCCTTCTCCTTCTTTTTCTTCTTCCTCTTCTTCATCTCTGATCCTGTTCTGTCATTCAGCATTTAAAAGGCATCCAGTGCAGGCCTTGGCACGTGTTAGGTGATGGTATTTACGATTTCATATATCCCATCTATCCACGACTTACGCGGTCGACCTCTGGTTCTGCTTCCATTATGTTATGCGACAGGGATCTCTGTGGTGCACTATCTGGTAGTTGTCTTGACTCGTGTCCAAACCATTAGGTCAACTGGCACTTACACGGTCATTTATAGACATTTGGTGGAGACACAGGTTTTTTAACTGGCTAGATTGGAATGGAAGTGGTCTTGTGTCTATCTACTGCAGCACAATTGTAAACGTTTAGATCCGTGTTTCCGAAACCTATGGAATGCCGATTGGTCTAGTAAAGATGTAAGACAAACACCATTGTCAGATGTGACAACTGTGTGGACAAGGATTGTGTGTATATGTGTGTGTGTGCGTGCGAAAGAGAGAGAGAGACAGAGAGGTAGAACCAACGAACGATTTGAGAGAGAGAGAGAGAGAGAGAGTGTGTGTGTGTGTGTGTGTGTGTGTGTTGCTACTTTTCGATCCCATTTAATTTAATTTTCTTCTCTGGAGTCTGTGAATAAAAGATTCAAACCCAGTGACTCAAGAGACAGCGTTCGGATGTCAGAGCAACAGGAACAAACCCCAGACACCCAATTCAACCGTATTCTTCTTTAACTGTATTTGCTAGTAAAAGAACGGATAACATGTTGTGTTGGTGTTTACCGCAAGGCTGTGACATCCGACAAATTGCTAGCCTTTTACGACAAGCTCTTTGGGGCGGGGAGAGGTGGAGGGTCCAATGCGTCTACTCATTCCCTCCCCCTTCCCCCCCCCCCTCACCCACACTAAAACCGGGGCTCTGGAACCCACAAAGAGAGTTCAATTGTATTTTTAAAAAAGCTGTATTGGGACGAGAGCCGTCGTAATGTAGCGGCTATACCCTCGCTTGGGGAACCAAAGGTCGTGGATTTAGGTCCTGACGAAGCTGGACAAAAATGACCTTGACTTCCAGTCGACCAAGCCCTACATGGGTACCAGGAAATCCTGGAAATTAAAGGCGGCAAGCATCATCCACTAAATGCCGATTGGTCTATAAATATAGGTCTAGCCCCAAAGGCCCAGTACACCTGAAAACGTGGAAAAGGATTCTTTACCTAATTTTAGGTTCCTTCGCTTACGAAATTATCCGCTGTACAATGTACGTCTGTGTCATTCCACTATTGGATCCAACTTCTTCTTTTTCTTCTTCTTCTTCTTCTTCTTCTTCTTCTTCTTCTTCTTCTTCTTCTTCTTCTTCTTCTTCTTCTTCTTCTTCTTCTTCTTCTTCTTCTTCTTCTTCTTCTTCTTCTTCTTCTTCTTCTTCTTTCTTCTTCTTCTTCTTCTTCTTCTTCTTCTTCTTCTTCTTCTTCTTCTTCTTCTTCTTCTTCTTCTTCTTTTTTTTCTTCTTCTTCTTCTTCTTCTTCTTCTTCTTCTTCTTTCTTCTTCTTCTTCTTCTTCTTCTTCTTCTTCTTCTTCTTCTCTTCTTCCTCTTTTTTTTTCTTCTTTTTCTACTTCTTCTTCTTCTTCTTCTTCTTCTTCTTCTTCTTCTTCTTCTTCTTCTTCTTCTTCTTCTTCTTCTTCTTCTTCTTCTTCTTCTTCTTCTTCTTCTTCTTCTTCTTCTTCTTCTTCTTCTTCTTCTTCTACTTCTTCTTCTTCTTTTTCTTCTTTTTCTTCTTCTTCACGCTCAACAGCTGTAAACTCCGGCGGAAAGTTCTGGTTGTTCGTCCACTTCTGGACTGCAGTCCTGTTCTAGAAACTGAGTGTTGCATGTGCATCCTTTTTACACATCTGAGTCATTTGTATGCAGACTGCTGGTTCCTCGCCTATCAGGCCACTGAACAGGATGTAAATATAAATAAGGCAAAGGACCCTTGTCCGCGCCTTCAGGCGTATAGGGCACATAGACTAATTCGTTTGGTGATGTGGTCAACATCACGCCAACCGCTTTTACTTCCCATAGCTTTACTGATATCTACTCAAAGCTTGGTCGACCTGGAGCCAAGGGGATGTTTAAGTACGGAAATCAATTTACCACAGAGCTAACTGAACACTGATTTTTTCACCCACTGAGCTGAGGTCACCTGGGCTTCATTGCATGTAAGTGTTTGTTATTGCTTTTTACCTAATCTAAAAGTGAAATGTTTTCTTCTGGAAGAGCGTAATTTAAAAATATGACGCGAATAGTGAATACATATTTATCTGCTTCTGTTTTGAAAATAATAATTTGATGAGAACGTGGTTCTTGAAGAAAAACATTATTGGTTGATGAGACCGTAGTACCTGAAGAAGCAACATTACTGGTTGATGAGACCGTGGTACCTGCAGAAGCAACATTACTGGTTGATGAGACCGTGGTACCTGAAGAAGCAACATTACTGGTTGATGAGACCGCGGTACAAGAAAAAAAAAAACATTACTGGTTGATGCGACTGTGGTACCTGCAGAAGCAACATTACTGGTTGATGAGACAGTGGTACCTGAAAAAACAACATTACTGGTTGATGAGACCGTGGTACCGGAAGAAACAACATTACTGGTTGATAAGACCGTGGTACCTGAAACAACAACATTACTGGTTGATGAGACCGTGGTACCTGAAGAAACAAGATTACTGGTTGATGAGACCGTGTTACCTGAAGAAGCAACATTACTGGTTGATGAGACCGTGGTACCTAAAGAAACAACATTACTGGTTGATGAGACCGTAGTACCTCAAGAAACAACATTACTGGTTGATGAGACCGCGGTACCTGAAAAAGCAACATTACTGGTTGATGAGACCGCGGTACCTGAAGAAACAACATTACTGGTTCATGAGACCGCGGTACCTGAAGAAGCAACATTACTGGTTGATGAGACCGTGGTACCCGAAGAAGCAACATTACTGGTTGATGAGACCGTGGTACTTGAAGAAGCAACATTACTGGTTGATGAGACCGTGGTACCGGAAGAAACAACATTACTGGTTGATAAGACCGTGGTACCTGAAAAAACAACATTACTGGTTGATGAGACCGTGGTACCTGAAGAAACAACATTACTGGTTGATGAGACCGTGTTACCTGAAGAAGCAACATTACTGGTTGATGAGACCGTGGTACCTGAAAAAACAACATTACTGGTTGATGAGACCGTGGTACCTGAAGAAACAAGATTACTGGTTGATGAGACGGTGTTACCTGAAGAATAAACATTACTGGTTGATGAGACCGTGGTACCTAAAGAAACAACATTACTGGTTGATGAGACCGTGGTACCTGAAGAAACAAGATTACTGGTTGATGAGACCGTGGTACCTAAAGAAACAACATTACTGGTTGATGAGACCGTGGTACCGGAAGAAACAACATTACTGGTTGATGAGACCGTGGTACCTGAAGAAACAAGATTACTGGTTGATGAGACCGTGGTACCTAAAGAAACAAGATTACTGGTTGATGAGACCGTGGTACCTAAAGAAACAACATTACTGGTTGATGAGACCGTGGTACCTGAAGAAACAACATTACTGGTTGATGAGACCGTGGTACCTGAAGAAACAACATTACTGGTTGATGAGACCGTGGTACCTGAAGAAGCAACATTACTGGTTGATGAGACCGTGGTACCTGAAGAAGCAACATTACTGGTTGATGAGACCGTGGTACCTGAAGAAGCAACATTACTGGTTGATGAGACCGTGGTACCTGAAGAAGCCTCATTACTGGTTGATGAGACAGTGGTACATGAAGAAGCAACATTACTGGTTGATGAGACCGTGGTACATGAAGAAGCAACATTACTGGTATTACCACGTACACAGAGTTTAAAGTCCTTAATACAACGGAGCGTCCCAGTGTCCGACGTAGTATTTTGTTATTTTAAATCCATACCATGGCTGTTGCCAGGGGTCCTAATATACCCAACCTACATGGGTTAACCGGGGTTTCTGGGACCTGTTACCGGGTGATTCTCATCCGAATGGTGGCCATTTTGTGTCACCGGGTGTTTATAGCTTGGTGTGATGTCCTGGTGGGGTTCAACATCAGTCAGGAGTTTAAAGTCTACAATTATAATTTTCGTGAACATTGAGATCAATGCACTACACTCTATGGCATTGCTCAGACTCTTCTTCGCATAACGGCTAGCCGCCTGCCAAGAGCATGGCACAGAGAACTAACTTTACAAGGTCCGACAATTAAGTAATGAGACTAATTCCATAATAATTAAAATAATCAACAGTTGAAGATATAACCTGTATCTGATTCAAAGCAAGCCCCTTGTGCACTGCTACCGCAAATGGCACGATCTAACAAACACTGTAACAACCTCTGTAGTTCTTCTGTTGTTATGGCCCTCAAAGTCGATGTTACGACCCTTTGGATGTCATTAATATCGTTAAAGTAGCGTCCTTTCAATCGTAACTTTAATTTTAGAAATGGAAAATAATCACAGGGAGACAAATTTGGGGAATAGGGTGGAATTCTAAGAACACACACTTGTTTTTGATGATCTCTCTTGGGTACTCAACCCGCTGATGTTTTTTGTCATCAGACAACGAATGTGGTACAAACCGGCAAGCATCTTTTTTCTTGCCAGAATCTTGCACTAAAATGTTATAAATGGTCTCTCAGTTAACACCAGGTTAATCTGCCTTAGTCTTCCCAGTAAAACAATGATCTTCTTGTATCCATACTCTGACTTTTGCAATGAGTTTATAATGATACATTTCGTTTCGTCCTTTTTAGGACGAAATTTTTTGTTATTTGAAGCCCTACTCTGGCTTTTTCCAGGGGCCGCCAAATAGGCAGGTCATAAATATGGCCAATTGTCTGAACGCGGTTTCTGGGACCTCTCCACGGCGATCCTCATCCACATGGTGGCACTTTGTGTCATCGGATGTTTATCGCTTGTGTGATGTCCTGGTGGGGTAGAAAGTTAGTCAGTCAGTCATGAGTTTATAATTTCGCACAGAAATTTAGCGTCCAGGTCTAGGTGCATAAGTAATCCTTTCCACACTGCTTTTGAATCGTGAATACTATCTGAAAATTTGTGCACGAGATAAACAATTATCCCCATAAACTTTTTGCATCAATTCAACTGATTCAATGGCGCATTTTTAAAGTTTTTAATGTTAGCTTTTTGCTCCCTGCTGATTACGTAACAAGGCACCTCTGACTAGGTCAAAAAAATTGTGGATTATTTGTTGTCTTCTTTTCGAGTGGCGATGAAAAGTTGCCTGTTCATAGATGAATGCCATGCTTTGATTCATAGATGGTATTTTTTTCTTCGTCAAAATAAAATCTGTCATACAGAATGTTTATCACAGTCCCCTGTGGAAAGTTTGACAGACTGCTGTCTCAGCATATGCACTAGCATGCACATGCATTAAAAGCATACGGTAGCCATCCGAAGTGCTAATACAAACAGTCCGACATTAGAAATGCATTTCATCATGGATGGTAGCAGAAGTCACCAACAGATCAGCAGCTGCACACGCAATCAATTTTAATCACACAATGGCACCACCAATATTGCGACAACAGGCATCGCTCCATTTTCTGAATTACAATTCACACAACCCCAAGTTGATCAAAGTAGAAAAACATTAAAATTGAAATCCACAGCTCACAGTGTCACGCCATTATGTTGTACATTACCAATTATGTTGTGCATTACCCATTATGTTGTGCATTAACCACTTGCATAACTAGTTGTTGGATAAAGACCTCGAACAAAACCAGAAGAGATCATGTGAGAAATGAAGAGATTAGAACTGTTAGAATAGCAAAGTTAAATCAAGTAAAGGACCATTTTGCAAACCTTCAAGCGTACTGGGCGTGTAGTGTTAGGCCAATCGTTTATAGACCTAATTGCGCTCGCTAGGTGATGCGTTTAACATCAAGTCGGCAGCGTTTTCTTCCCAGGACTCTACCTGATACCCACTTAAGGTTGGGTCGACCCTGAAGCCAAGGTCATTTTACGAAAAATTTCGGCTCTATGTGGATATAAACCAACGACCTTTAAATGTGCAGTGGATCATCTAGCCGCCTCACCACGGTGGCTTCCCACTGGGACACTACTCACTTTTAAATATACTGAGAAACAAAGATTGAAATGGTTTAGCTACTTAGTGGAAACGAACCCTTCGATACAGACAGCGACAGCATGCACCTGAAAATGAAAACACTAAAAAGCAGAGGGAGAACATGAAGAAGATGGATAACAGGCAGCTTATAACCTCATAAAATCCCCTCATAACAAATCGCACTTAACCTTATCATCCCTTAAATTACGACCACTAAAAGCACAAAGTAGATCATCGTCATTAATCACCAGCTTCGTGCCTATGGATTCTGGGGCCTCGTGTGGGGAAAACAAGAACAGACCAACTGCCTTCCCAATGGGTATGTCCTAGGAGTCGACTAACTGGGAGCTTCCTTCGAAGATGGAGTGCATCTGCCTGACCTGCACAGAACAACTAACTGTACACACAAATACGCCTGTAAAACGGATACCCACGCAAAACACAGACCCTGACACAAAGCCAAAATTCAGTCAGGACTTTCCGCCGGAAGTTACAGCCAGTTAACAAGTAAGAAGAAGAAGAAGAAGAAGAAGAAGAAGAAGAAGAAGAAGAAGAAGAAGAAGAAGAAGAAGAAGAAGAAGAAGAAGAAGAAGAAGAAGAAGAAGAAGAAGAAGAAGAAGAAGAAGAAGAAGAAGAAGAAGAAGAAGAAGAAGAAGAAGAAGAAGAAGAAGAAGAAGAAGAAGAAGAAGAAGAAGAAGAAGAAGAAGAAGAAGAAGAAGAAGAAGAAGAAGAAGAAGAAGAAGAAGAAGAAGAAGAAGAAGAAGAAGAAGAAGAAGAAGAATCAGCAGATCCTTGTATAGAACGTCGCTCTCGTCAGGGTACACCCGAAAGCCGTGTACATCCAGTCATCTCTGATAGGGATTTCTTGTTATGCCAAGCTGCCCAACATCCTCTCTGCTGGGATTTCTCTACCTCCATTTCTTCCCCTCTGGTTTTGATGACTTCTAACTTTCATGTAGTCACAACTTACTCTAATTTTTCTCTTCTCATTACCTGCCAGAGGAATGTGATCAATCAGCTTTTACTAGAAGTAACCAATCATCTTTTTTGAGTAAACGTTTTTTTTTTTCAAAACACCGTCACATTTATTTCCCTATCTCGTGTTCAAAGGAAGAAAGTAAAGAAGTTTTCTTTTTAGAGGAGGGTAAGATAGTAATCTACCTGGCTACAGATCACGTCTGCACATTTTGCTCACCGTTTATAATTAAAATGAAAAATGCGATTCGTTATATTTCTATACGTAAAAATGGAATGAAATTCCTCACTAAAACAGCTTCTTTCTTTTCCAGATGTAAGGGGTAGCCATATCTTGAAGCAGACTAGATCACTGTGACTTTCCTTTTTGCACTGAGCAAATGCATGTCTAGGAGTATCATGGTCAGATCTGGTAACTAGGCTAGTGTTTTAACGCTTGCTAAAAATAAATCTGAATGTGTCTTAGACGCAATTTTCGCGTCTTTTGTGAATATGTATTTTTATAGACCAATCGGCAATTTGTCGGTGATAGACATTTTTTTTTTTTACGACTCATGTTGCCATGTGTCAAACCTCTGAATTGGCAAGTAAAACCATGGCTTAGGTCCGCCCCAATATGAAATGCAATTATTTTTTAAATAAATACTTTTAAGCTCTACTCCGTTTGTTGTCAGGGGCCCTATAATAAGAAGAACTCCACACGGGAGCATGCACCTCAGAGGACCACCGGTCATCAGTAGAGTTCCTTCTTCGACAGTCGTTTCGGCCCATTGCTTTACTAAACAATTTTGGAAGGTAGGCCTACCTGGGTCATGCAGCCAGGCCCCGATCTTCATCTGCTGCACCTATCGGACTCGATAGAGACAAGACGATATGGTGACTAAAATATAATGTGAGATTTTGTTATATTATCGCTGCGGTAGCAAAAAAGCTCAGTGACTACCAGAGTGACAAGCTTATGGTTGGTTCATCAGACAATTGTTAGACTTTGGCATTTGGCAGAGAGACAACGGCAGACATTTAACAGACACACTGGCTTTAAAGAGATAAGACGTTCTTTTCCACTGGACCAGTCTACCGAGGCCCATCCCCAACGACGTTCTGTTGCGTCCAGAGCCAGCTCGAAGCTTTTTCATCATGATTATAGT